GGCCTGACGAGAATTTATCGAAAACAAACGTATGTTCGCCAATTTATCTCCTATTAGTTTCCTTAAATAAATAAGGAAAACGCCAAATGCGAGCACCCAATTTGGAATACCAGAAAGTAGGAGCTGTAAACGTGTAAGAGGATGAAAATCGAGGGTATTATTGAGATATTCCAGGAGAACTGATCCAAGCGTGTGCTTATTAAGACAAATTGGGGCAGAAGGTGTATGGTCTTTGTCGTTAAATCCAACTCCCGTAATGGCTGCAAGTGAAAATACAAGTGAATTTAACAAATTTGACAGCCTAATCCTGAGACATAAACCTAGGTTTAAAGCCTAATCCTAAATTTAAATCCCTAACTTGCTCTAACACCTAAACCATAAACATAAGCTGAATGCTGACCCTAACGGCCTACTGAAATGTCATAAGTAGGCATTTCTTAGAAGTAAATGCTACCCGATCGTCACCCAGACCGCTGCCAACCCAAACTACGGTCACAATGGAGGAACGGTAAGACAAAGGGACAGGAGCCTTACTCATATTGCGGATGCCTTCCAGTAATTTACATGGCTATTAAGGTTCTCGTAAAGGCTATGGTTAAGTTTTGGATGAGAGTTAGTTGTAGGCTCATGACTCAATAGAATTTTAACTTTCGTGGAATATTGCACAGGGCCGCCTGGCCTGCGAAGATATTACACAGTAATGTGCTCGATACTAGACCCTCAAGGCAGATTCATAGGCCAAATTGAAAGCTTACATGCTATTTTATCCTTTTCTCTGACTAAATTTTTCCAATTTGCAGGTTTGGAGGAACAAAAGACGACTCAAGCGAAAGAACTTATCGACGCACGTGCCAGCCTGAAAGATGTTGAGAAAGCCCGCCTGGATCTGAAGCGGGAATGCCATAATCTGAAGCGAGATTTGAAGTCTATCGGCGGAGAGCGTGCAAAACTCTCGCGTACGGTTCTTGAGCTGCAGGACAAACTGGGTGCCTCAGAGGAGCATGAGAACCGTCAAAGACAAGATCTCTTTACGTTGAAGCAACGTACGGGAGAGTTAGAATCTCAAAGGTAAATGCCTTTTCTTCTGCTTCCATAATTAACAGTAATATGAGCATGCCCTTAGATGTTTATTTGAGTCCCAAACTATAATAAAATAGAAGTCTCGGATGCCGAAACCGGATAATAAAGGGATGAAAAGAGAGGTAGTTCAATGTGGATACGTTTATGTATGATACGAAATACCAAACAGCGAAGTTCTACTTTCATGGAACTAGGCTTTGCGTGTGTCGCGTGGAAGCTTGTCATTACGTCGCCTAGGTAGTATTTGGAGTCGGTATTCTGATCTCATTCACCTTCTATTGCCGTGACTTCCCGGCCGGTGGTGGTGCTTGGAAGGCCACGGATATTCCACCGAGACAATTATTTAAGCTGACATCTGTCAGGTATTATGATTGATTAGCACTCATCGGTCACACTACGGAGCATGCTCGTTCCATTGCGCCTTGGAAATCAATCTAGAACCCTCGCAGGGAGTCGCATCGCGTCTAGTAGCACACACAATTAATAGAATACTTACAAATACAAGGAAGACCGAAATGGCCATTTTTCGCTTAGTAACCACTGACAGAAAGTCATACCAACTCCTAAGTGTGGAGCACCTGTGAGTTGAACCGGGGATCTTTGAATATTGGGTTGCATGCTCTATTGACGAGTTACGGGTCGGGAAAATGAGTCATGATGGATTGATGCTCATCCTGTTGTGCCTTGGGGATTGGGTATGTTTGGTTGATGAAGGCCAGTAAAACAGAAATGGCCATTCCGGTCGTGCTGTTTTCTTACAGAGGAGCGGATCAGTAAAGTCCTTCTATGTATAATGCATACTAGTTGTTGCACGACTGCTGTCGAGGTCCTAGATAAAGCGGAACTAGTATTCCCTGTAACATGATCGATAAGCGTTTATCTACCGTTGTCAATACAACTGATCACAACCGACCGGAAAAGGAGTCGGTGGCTCAGTAGTTAGGGCAGCGGACTTCTAACCAGTAGGTTGCGGGTTCGAGCTTCAGGTTTTGCATTATCTTTGGTTGGAAACGGTTGGATGATGACGGTTAATAAGTCAGAGATGGCCATTGTAGTCTCCCTGGTCTTTGTCGAAAAGGTCTCTCTACCTACAATATATACCAGCTGTTAGGAGAGTAGCCTAACCGAATGCCAGCCTTCCTGAGGCGTCATGCCCGTGACCGACTGCCACAATGATTCCTATGTCGAG